CAGTTTCCATTGTGAGTTGCTTTATTCAGTCTTCACTTTTTACAGAATTCTATAGACTTTCTGTAGTGCTTTGTGTGAAAATAAAATTTACCATTAAGTTCTTACTAAATTTAAACAATGTTAGTAATTATGGGATCTGAAACTGCTTGTAAAGAAACAGAGTAAGTATATTTTACTGAGTCATGAGACAACGGATTAAGGGGCAATATGAAATAATTTTTTAATACAGCATCAGTTCAAGAGTCAAAAATTTTGCATTTCTTTATTTTCACAGGAAATCTTCTCATTGTATTTAATTTATATCTTGTAGAAGAAAATAATCACTAAGACCATAAAAATAGATTTTGTAATGGGATTAATCAGCAAAGCATAAGCATTTTCAAAGTTAATTGTTCAAAATCTATGAAAAAATTGACACAAATACAAAGATCAGCAATATTCTTGCAGTCAGTAGGGAAACATCTAATTTTATCATAATTTCAATAAACTGAAAGCATATACTTGCTTTCTTTAAACTCTTGATCTTCTTTAGGCTGTATTTTAAAAATCAAACCAGACTATGCCAAAAGAGTCAAAATAGTAATCAAAATGCAAAGTTGCTGTAATAGATATTACATGACTTATGATATATGGTAACCTATTCTGATCTTTATTCTTGAGTTTGATTTAATCCTCAACCACTATTCCTTCCCTAACTTTTATCTCAGGATGAGGTTGTGGGATGGTATTGAGCTGTATAATACACACATTACTGGGGGCTTTTGTGTGTGTGTGTGTTTTAGGGGGAGGTACTGGGGATTGAACTCAGGGGCACTCAACCACTGAGCCATCATCCCCAGCCCTATTTTGTATTTTATTTAGAGACAAGGTCTCACTGAGTTGCTTAGTGCCTTGCTTTTGCTGAGGCTGGCTTTAAACTTGCAATCTTCCTGCCTTGGCCTCCTGAGCTGCTGGGATTACAGGCATGCGCCACTGTGCCTGGCTTTTTTTTTTTTTTTTTAACTTACAGTTCATGATTAGTTTTCTAGGCTGTACATTTTCAGGTGGTCATTAATTGTGTGAAGATACATCTCTGTCTGAGTTCTATGATGCACACCTGTAATCTCAGGGACTAGGGAGTCTGGGGTGGGAGGATCACAAGTTTGAGACCAGCCTCAGCAATATAGGAGATCCAAAGCAACTTACCGAGATCCTGTCTCAAAATAAAAAAATAAAAGGACTAGGGTGTAGCTCAGTGGTTAAGCACCCTTGGATTCAATAGCCAGTATTAAAAAAAAAAAAAAAAAGATACATCTCTGATAATTCAGTTTGGTCTGGACTTTTAATTATTCTGAGGTGAATGACTGTGCTTCCTTTGGCATCACTTATATACCTTTGGCAGCATATACTAAAATTGGAATAATTCTAATGACAAAATATGGTATTTGAAGTTTTTCTGGATTTTCCTTGGTGCTGGGGGTTCAGACCCAGGACCTCAAGCATGCTAAACAAGCACTCTACCACTGAGCTACAACCTCAGCTTTCAAATACTGTTTTTTTTGTTGTTGTTGTTGTTTGTTTTTTAATATCTTAATCAAGCCCCATGTCCTAAGGCTGAGGGTGTAGCTTGGTGATAGAGCAGGCACTTGCACTATGCCTGTAGTCCCAGCTACAGGGAGGTTGAGGCAAGAGGATTGCATGAGCTCAGGAGTTCAAGGCCAGCCTGGGAAACAAGTGAGACTCTGTCTCAAAACAACAACAAAAAAACCCTCTATGTTACCATAATTAGGAGGTGTTTTTTATTTTTATTTATTTTGTATACATGTGGTACTGTTGGGGCAGACAGATGAGGATGGTGGGAATACAAGGTTAAGAGAGTAATTCTATACAATGGACCCACTGTGCTGACCCCCACCTGCTTTCTTTTCCAAGAGGAAATTCACAGGCAGCCTTGCCTGGCCTATATGGATAGGCTATGTCACATTCCTCAGGCAAAGGATCTTAAGGTAAAGAAGACTTGTATTATGGGATCTCTCCATTTTCCTTCCTTGTGCCCAACTGTAGAGAATTAAAAATACCCCAGGAAGCAGGGCATCTCCCTACTTCCTTGGTCCATCAAACTCCCTTAGTGCATCCCCTTATTGTGGAGGTGATCCCTGCATCCTGGGGCAATGTATTGTCTAAGGCAGAATGCATACCTCTTAAGGGTGCCTAAAGGGTCCAGGACCTGGTCTAGCCTGACTTTCCAGATCCCCTGTCTCTCCTGTTCTTTAGCATTAGGGAGGAACTTTGCAGAATCCCAGAATAAAGAACAGATGTCCCCTTTGGCTAGGGGACATCTCCCCATTCTGTACCTTCTAGAGGCCAGCAGTTCCCACCTCTCCTTCCATAACCCCTGGACTTAACCTTACCAGCATAGTCATAACTTCTCTCCTTCTTCATGGGTGGTCATGAAAAGGGTGCAAGCCTCTGGACTATCTACTCTTACTGGGTGACTTGTTACTCTGGGAGACTGTGAAGCCCTTAAATGACTTCTATAATAAATCCTGCTCTGTCTGTGCTGAGTCTACCATCACTTAATAAACTTTCAGGGTAGAGAGAACTGGGTCTCACTCAGAATAAAGGATACTAACTTTCTGATAACTATTTAACTTAAGGGAGGACATTTGCCTTTAAAATTTGTCTTACATGTTCTCTTTGTCCTTTTGGGTCCTCATACTCACAGGACCAGGATTTCATATCAAGCTTCTCAATCTGAAGTAGGGGGCAAGCCCATTAGTACTCTGGGTGATAATCCCTCCTGTTCCTATCATCCTCATCTGTTTGTCTCCTTATAGTACTAAGGATTAAACCCAAGGCCTCCTGCATGTTGACAAGCATTATCCCACTGAGCTATATCCCTATTCCTTTTCATTTTATTTTGACATGGGGTCTTGCTCTTTTGTCCTAACTGGGTTTGAACTGGTGATCCTCCTGCCTAAAACTTTTGACTACCCGGGATTACAGGGATTATAGGCATGTGCCACTGTGCCCATTCAGGTGTTTCTACTGTAACATTTACAAACAGTATTTAAAATTTTTGGTATCAGGGATTGAATTTAGAGACACTTAGCATAATTTTGTATTTTATTTAGAGACAGGATCTCACTGAGTTGTTTAGCACCTTACTTTTTTGCTGAGGTTGAAACATTTTTTTAGTTGTCAATGGACCTATATTTTACTTATTTATATGTAACGCTGAGAAGTGAACCCAGTGCCTTACATATCCTAGACAAGTGCTCTACCACTGAGCCCCAATCCCAGCCCTCAAACAGTATTTTGGTTATCATTTTCCTACTACACATAAGTGCTTTTTAGAGTTGCTAGGGGCTAGCTTAGCCACTTTCTACTTGATTTAGTATATAGGAAATGATTAGTAAACATTTTATTTTTTGGGTAGAAATAGAAAGAAAGGGGAAAGAAAAAGTGAAGGAAAGAGAGAAAAAGTGAAGGAAAGAGAAAAAGTTCACTTAAATAGGAAGCTTAAAACTGAACTAGAATAGTAAATTTCAAATTTCTTATCATTTAAACCTGATTTTTTTTTAAACATGGGATTGAACATACTGATGCTTTACCCTGAGCCACATCCACAGCCCTTTATATTTTTTATTTTGAGACAGGGTCTTGCTAGGTTGCTTAGGGGCTCCTTAAATTTGGGGCTGGCTTCAAGCTTGCAATCGTCTTGTTTCAGCCTCCATAGTTGCTGGGATTACAGGCTTGCTCCACTGCACTGGGCTTAAAAAAGCATAGGTTAATTATTCATAAGTTAATTATGCATGAATGTTTTAAATTAAAAGCAGGCCATTAAAGCTAACAAACTTGTTTACTGAGAAAAATGTGTTTACAATACTATTACTTGATATTGTTTCATGTCTTCCAGCCCATAATCCAAAACGATACTTCTCATAAATACATTCTACCAGTGTTTTCAAAGTTTAGTCCCTGGGACAGCTATATCAGCATCCCTTGGGAACTCCTTAGCAATGCAAAACCCCGCCCTAGAACTTTTGGATCAGAAACTGTAGGCAGGGTTCATCTTCTGAGGCTAAAGTTGGAGAACCAGTGCACAGTTTTTCTTCCAAACTTGCTGATGTGGATGAAGAAGCACCACTCAAAAGCAAATATTCTTAGATGTTTAGACAAGAAGGATTAAATTTTCACTAAAATAAATTTTTTATTATGAAATTTCCCCAATACAGAATTTTAGAAAAAGAAACTTAGAAGAGATGAAGGGAAAAACCATTCCACTTTCTACTTGATTTAGTCTTAAATGTCTTGTTCTCCTTTTGTTATGGGTCTCTACCCTCTTAAAATTTCCCTTTATTTCCCATTATTAAAAAAGCCTAGCTGTTGGGGTGGCACAAGCCCGTAATCCCAGTGGCTTGGGAGGCTGAGACAGAAGAATCGCAAGTTCAAAGCCAGCCTCAGCAATTTATCCAGGCACTAAACAACTCAGGGAGGCCCCATCTCTAAATTAAAAAAAAAAAAAAAGGGCTGGGGATGTAGCTCAGTGGTGAAGTGCCCCTGAGTTCAATCCCGGGTACCCCCTCCCCCCACAAAAAAAAAAAGAAAGAAAACAGAAACAAACCTGTAATAACTCTCTTGTGACACAGAGTCCTTGGCAGGCTTCCACAAATCTTTCTCTAAGGTTACAGGCAGCCCATGATAACTTATAAGTAAGAGCATAGACTCTGAAATCCTGCAAACTTCAACGCCCCCCCCCCCCCCCCCCGTCCAACTCAGTAATTAAGTAACTAAGGTAAACGAGCTTTCAGCGTCTTCGAGCTTAGCTCTTTATTGGTAAATCTAAATCTTATTAGGACTCCTGAAGACGCAAACTCGCAGTTTGGGGGCACTGAAGTGCCAGAGCAGGATGAATTCGAAGGAGGAGCTTGCCTAAGACCCCCCCAACTCCCACCCCCGCCTCCGCCCCCGCCCTCGTGAACCTCTCCCTTCATCCCAGGGTTCGGGTCGGAGCGGGAGAAGACGGACTCTGTCCGAAAGAAGAACTCTGGGCTTCACTTTAAAAAACACTCTCTCGGGTGATCCTGCGGAGTCCTAGAATAAGAGAAGGTGACAAGGGATTCTCCAACCTCTGCGCGGTCCCTTTAAGAGCCTCTAGCCCTGACTCCGCCCTCTGCCGCCCGTCGCGGGCGGAACCGGAAGTGTGGGGGAAGAGCCGGTCCCCAACATGGCGGCCGCCTGGCCCTCCGGTCCTGTTTCTCCGGAGGCCGTGGCCGCCCACCTTCTTGCAGTCTTGTGGCTCGTGGCAGCCACCACGGGACCTTGGGGGGCTGTCGCTACCGCTGCCGCCGGGGGCGACGAGACGCTTAAGTGCGAGGACCTCAAAGTGGGGCAATATCCTCTATGGCGAGGTAGATTCCGGGTCGCGGTTCTCAGTACTGGCTAGGTCTACTGAAGGAACAACGACCCGTGACCTCTAAGGACGCCGGGGGACGAGGGGGGATTTGGGGATCGGAGGGGCAGAGGCCAGCCCGTGTGCTTTCCGTAGGATTTAACTAATGGTTGGTGCTTCTTAACCTCATCCATTTCTTTTTGTAACCGGTGTGCTTATTAAACATAGATCCTAAGGTATACCAGGCCCTGTTCTAGGCACTTAGAAATATAAATATTGACAGACTCTACCCTGGAAAAGTTTGCCAACGTCGAGGGAGACAAGTAATTACTAGTGCTTCCTCCAATCAAAGTGTACAATTAATTTTACATATAATACTTCGTGTTATCCTGAGATGCTAAACTGCCAGATGAATTCCTGCTCCACTTTGTATCCTTGGGCAAATTATTTGAACATTACATTTTCTCATGTAAAAATGTGAATGACAAGTGTGCCAATTTAAGGGGCTGTTGTGATATTTAATTAGTACAGGTGTGAACAGTGCCTGGTATAGTAGGCAATGTATGTGTTAGCTATTTATTTACAGGCGAGGAAACAGGCCAAATCAGGGGTAAGGGATGAGTTGTGCTTAAAATAGCTACTTTGGAACAGGAAAACTAATAATGGAAGCTAGAAATATAGGTTGACTATCTCTAAACCAAAAAACCAAAATTACTAAGTGCTCCAAAATCCAAAATTTTTTGAGCACCGACGTGACACTTCAAGCAAGGGATCCTCAACCTGTGTAAGAAAGATTCTGTAAGAGGAACTCTTGATATGAAGAAAATTCTAGTGATTTTGTGTGCTTTGAGGAGCGACACTATTACTATTAAAGGTTTTCACAGAATAGCTCTAATTTGTTGAATATCATTATGTTTTGACTTTGAGAATCATGGACCTAATAAGTTGAATTTTATTCTTGGAAGAAATATGGGAGTGATTCTAAAATAATTGGGCAGTATCAAAGTTGAACCCTGGAAAGAATGAGCCTGTAGAACTGTGAGGTGATGACAACTGGATAATCACTTTTATTCCTAGTATGAAGTTTCCAATAGAGATTCAAAAATCTTAAATGGACTCTAGAGACATTTTGTGAATACCACACTTACCCCTATTATAGTGTCAGTAATAAAACATTTAGGAGATAAAACTTCCAGTTTCTCTTTTGGACATTTTTGGTTCTTATGCTCTTTTCAAAAACTTAAAATCCTGCTAGAGTGTCCATATAGAATACACCCATCTTTCTGCAATCTGATGGAATTTAAATAAGGAAACCTGATTTATCACCTATCATTTATATGGCTGCATTAGCCATTCAAACTTTGAACTTCAGTTTTTGCTTCTGTGATGTGGGGCTAATAGCATCTACCTCACAGGTTTGTGTTAAATGAAATTCAGTGTATGGTAATTCTAGGGCTCTGCAAATTAGTTCAGTACAAATCTTTGGAAACTGATTTGTTAACCTGAAGCCTACTTAATAATAACTTAGTAAAATGTTTATTTTAATTTTTGCTTTGTGTTTATATCCTGATTGATGTTCTTTAATGATGAAATTCTCTGCTAGAGCTTTTTTTTTTGTTAATTGTGGATGAATTTTTATTTATTTATTTATATGTGGTGCTGAGAATCGAACCCAGTGCCTCACACATGCTAGGCAGGTACTCTGCCACTGAGCCACAACCCCAGCCCTCTCTAGAGCTTTAAATACATACATTTAATTTATATACTTTGCTTATAATAAGTTAACATTCAGGTATTATTTAGGTATTATACTAGAAGAATGTTTATATCTGTGCTTGTTGACTTGGATAAACCAGCAGCTTCTTTTTTACATGTGGTGTTATGTTAGATAGTTCTTATTTCCTTAACTTTTTTTTTTTTAACATATATTTGTAAAGATCCCAAAATAAATGATGCTACGCAAGAACCAGTTAACTGTACAAACTACACAGCTCATGGTAAGACTTCAAGAATTATGTCTTTAAAAATAATTTTTAAAACACTATTTCATAGACCGTATGTGACCACTAAATTTAATTAATAAATATATTTTTTTCTTAAGCTATACATTTTATTCAGTTTTCAGAAGAATTTAAATTTGAAGAACTGGCTAGGTGTTGTCAAGATTTAATTAATTGATTAATTATTTATTTTGATGCTGGAGATTGAACACAGGACCTCACATATGCTAAGCATGTGTTCTACCACTAAGCTATACTCCCAGCCCCAATATTTAAATTAAAAAAGAATCTTATTTCCTTAATTATATAAATTGTAAGTTTTGTATTTTCATTATATATTTAAAATTTTTGCATCAGTTTATATAGCTCCCTCATTTTCTTCTTATTTAAGTTTATTTTTAATTGATATATAAAAACATAAAATTTGTATATATTTATGGGGTATCATGTTATGTTTTAATATATGTATACATTGTGTAATATTTAAATCAGGGTAAACATGTATTTCCTTAAGCAATTATAGCCTTTTATTTCTTAAGAGATGTGTGCAAAGATACTTCTTTGGTTAGAGTTTTTAATTACTCAAAAAAAGTGAAATGAGACTGTTGGTTTTGTAAAATATAGTGACAAACTATGTCACCTACATTATATATGTTTCTGCATGTACTTAGATATATCCTAACAGTATGCATTAATATTTTCTCAGAGGGGTGTTTTGATAATGGGTCAAAAAAAATTATTAGACTTTCAGTCTAATGATTTTGGGTAGCTTCTATTCTAAATTATGTACAATGCCTGATAAAATATAATAGTTTACTCCCTGTTAAGTCTTTCCTTCTAAAGATTTTTATGTCTTTATATTTTGTCACATTATTAGCCCAATTCTAGTTAGAAGAGATACTTGAAAGTAAGTGGTAGCTGTGGAGCTTGCCTGTAATCTCAGCAACTTGGGAGGCTGAGGCAGGAGAATTACAAGTTTGAGACCAGCTTCAGCAACTTAGCGAGGCACTAAGCAACTTAGCGAGAACCTGTCTCAAAAAATAAAAAGTTCCAGGACGTAGATTAAGTACCCTGGGTTCAATCCAGTACCAAAAAAAATATAAGGTAAGTTGTGTTAAACCTTTATTATTGACTTTTTGCTACTATGCTGAAATAGTGAGATTTTATTATATAAACAGTCATAGGATAATAGATGTATGTATACATATAAATATATGATTTTCATAGTAGATATTGCTTATTATGTATACATCAATTTAAAAGAATATTGTAATTTATCCCTCTTTGGTTAGCCTGTAAGTATGCTGTGATTTGCCTGTTTACAGTTAGAAGTCTTTAATGTTATCGGTTTTAGAATGTAGTATAGAGTTAACATGCATAAAGAAGAGAAAGCTCTCAAATATAGTTATTTATAATCATTCATATGAAAGATGTTGGAAATCTATGCATACTATTGTGACAAATATGTAACTGGCAGACACTCTCAGAAAAGTTTCTTCTAGCATTTGGGATTTTTTGTATAGAGATTTTAAAGGAAAATATACAACTATAAAGAATAGTTTCTGCCTGAAAAGAGCTCTGCTCTCCAGTTAGGTGTCTATTTTGGATTAAATAAGTTTGAATTCTCTTAAGGATTATTGATAAGTAAAGTTATAACCATATGCAAATCAAGTTGCTAGAAAAAATTCAAGGTATTATGGAATTAGTCATGGTATCAGGAAGTGCTTATAGGATGAAAGGGGAGAGGTGCAGGAAAATAAAAGAAATGCTTTTCAAATAAAATTTGAAGAGAATAAAACGTGTAAAAGTCTGTTTGCCTAACTAAATCTGGAAACATATAAAATGTTCTAGATTTAAAAATAAATGACTTTAAAGATTAATAAAGGACTTTAGCCATGTGCAGTGGAAGGTGCACACATGTAATCCCAGTGACTCAGGAGGCTGAGGCAGGAGGATTGCAAATTAGAGGCCAACCTCAGCAACTCAGTCAGACCCTGTCTCAAAATAAAAAGGGCTGGGGGTGGGGTTCAGTGGTAAACTACCCCTAGGTCAATCCCCAGTAATCTCCCCACCCCATTAATAAAGAACTTTAAATCATTACCATGATTTTAAAAAGAAAACAAAAGTTTTGAGACAAATGTGAATCATGAGGCTTCTTCATATTAATGTGTAATTTATGCATGGTACAAAGGTGTTGAACCAAGAGCTGGGGTAGGTTCTTCCAACCCAGTCTGATGCTTGAGTCTGTGCCAATCCACAAGAGTTTTGTTTTGTTTTTCTTTTCTTTTCCCTAATTGTCCTTTTTCAAACATAAAAGGTAGTGGGGTAGCCATGGTAAATCTGATCTAAATCCTGATCAGAGAGGATGTCAAATCACCCTGGAAGCCTGTTTCCCTGTGGTAGAATGTGAGAGTCCCTTTCCTGCATCATGGCTTGGATAAAGGCATGTTTCTGGTCCTCAGACTTTAGGCCAAGCAGTGCTGCCTTTGCATCCTCTGACTTCTGCTCTGAGGTGCCGTAGTGCCCACAGCTATTGTAGGAATAGAAGTGGTGCTGGGCACTGATCTGTCACAGCATTTACATTGTGATTTTCCATTGGTCTTCTGGAGTTTAATAACTCAGTGTTGTAATTTAGTTGCAATGCAGGGTTTATTTTGCAGCTGGATTTCATTGGCATTTTAACATGTGAGTGAATTTTCAACATATTGTGCACCCCAGTCCAACAGTATCTTTAAAAAAGTCAGACTGGATATGATTTCTTTCTTTCTTTTTTTTTGGGGGGGGGGGTACTGAGGATTGAACCCAGAAACGCTTAAATACCAGCCATATTACCAGCCCTTTTTATGTTTTATTTTGAAATGGGGTCTCACTAAGTTGATAGGGCCTTGCTGAATTGCTGAGGCTGGCTTTGAACGTGTGATCCTCCTGTCTCAGCCTTCCAAGCCGCTGGAATTAAAGATTTGCACCACTACACCCAGCTACTGGATGTGATTTCTATAACAAGTTATACTGTATAATGACCAGCTATAAAGAAATGTGCCAATCTAAAATTCATGTCAAAACAAAAGCTAGAGATAAAGGTGACAAGAGCCAAAACATCTCCATATTTCCAGCATTGAAACACAGTTCTCCTTGAGGAATGCTTAAGTTGGAAAAGCCACTATTTTGCTATTATCATAATAAAGAACAGTTGGGATTAGAATCATCAATAGATGGTGAATGTAGGGGATTTTTTTTTTTTTTTTAATCTGGACATTGAACTCAGGGGCACTCAATGATTGAGTGAACATCCCATTTTTTAAAAAAAATATTTATGTTTTAGTTTCAGGTGGATACAATATCTTTATTTTATTTTTATATGGTGGTGAGGATCAAACCCAGTGCCTCACACATGCTAGGCAAGCATCTACCACTTGAGCCACAACCCCAGCCCTCCCCAGCCCTATGTTGTATTTTATTTAGAGACAAAGTCTCACTGAGTTGCTTAGAACTTCCCCATTGCTGAGGCTGGCTTTGAACTCATGCTTCTTCTGTCTCAGCCTCCCAAGCTTCTGGGATTACAGGTATGCGCCACTATGCCCAGTCTGTAGGGAAAATTTTTGATGAAGAATAGGCTGTTTGCAAGTTTTTTCCCCAGTACTAGGGATTGAATCCAGGTTCTCATGCATGCTAGGTAAAAGCTCTACCAATGAGCTACATCCCCAGTCCTTTTTAGTTTTAGATGGGGTATCACTAAGTCCAGGCTGCCTTCCAACTTGTAGTCCTCCTACCTCAACCTCCCAAGTAACTAGGATTATAGCAGCTGCATGATCTTAATGAGTCTGCCCACAAAAACATTAACTGTACATTAGAAAAATCTGAATGCTCAACAGTTAATATGCCCAGTGTGTAGAGTTTTCATCCCTTGAAATAAGTAGCTCATACTTCTGACAAAAACTGCTGTAGAATCATTGTAGCAATTTGGTTTTCTCTTCATTCTTATACTTCTTACCACCTTTTCTGAGGTTCTAAGCCTGGATTGTTAGCCATTTTTCTTTCATTTTTTTTTCTCATATCAATGTAAAGTAGCCAATAGGAATGATTAAATAACTTTAAAAACTAAAATTTTCAAAATATGGCAACTTGAACAATTGATAGTGTCAAGTTGTGCCTGGCAGACACTGTGTTAATTCTCATGTCATGTAGGTTATGTATATAGATTAAATTGCTAAATGCTGAAATAGTACAATACATAGAATAAAGAGTTTTAATTTATGGCAGCCAATGCCTATAATAGTTAAAATAAACTGAATATTCAAACCCAGATTATGTTAAAATGAATTACCAACAAAACTTTAAGAAATATTCTTTATCCTAGAGATGAAGTAAAACAAATAATACTGTGCAATTCTTCCTTTGTCATCTTTGTCAGAGGCAAGAGATTGGACTTGGATGGACCTTGTATAACACAGTGGCAGTTTTCATATTTGTGTTGAGACCACTCTATCATTTTATTTATTTTATATATACATATATATATTTTTTTTCTTTCTTTCTTTCTTTCTTTTTTTAGTAGCTTTTCCTATCTAAATTAAACTCTTCTGTCAGACGTTACATAGGAAGGTAGTTTGTTGAATTTTCTTGTGTGCTTTGCCAATATTAGGGGGAAATATTACATACCTTTACTGCATAAAAAGAAGTAATATTTTTTTGATTTTTTTTTTCTGCCTTTAGTTTCATGTTTTCCAGCACCCAATATAACTTGTAAGGATTTCAGTGGCAATGAAACACATTTTACTGGAAATGAAGTTGGTTTTCACAAGCCTATATCTTGCCGAAATGTGTAAGTACCATTACTGATACCTAAAATTTTAGATTATTTGCCTATGTAATATATTGATATCATAGAATGAAGAGTTAATTTATGGGGAAATCCTGCAGATGTAATGTTTATGTTTTTGCTTGTCTCAGAGTCTCTGTTTTTTTTAAGTATACATATGTTTTTATAAATGTAATTCACCAATGAAGAAAGAGCTAAATTCACTGTGTGGAATAAGACAATAAATGGTCTCATGCCTTGTTGAGTAGGGGCAATAAGTTTATCAAATGAACTATGAAATGAATTATAAAAAATACTGTTTTCAAAATTTGGGAGATTTCTAGAATACAGATAGGTATTGTATGCCTATTATATCAGAAAAACACAAATGGTTATTACTCATTTTCACATTAAGAGCAGTTTGAACTTGACTAATTCTTTGAATTGGATATGGATATTGAATAATAATGAAACAATTCAAAGTTTTCATTTTGGAATAATAAGACAAATGGATTTAATGTTCTCTGTTTAAAGGACTTTTATGCTTGAGTTTTATATTGATTACAGTAAAACTTACATCCTATTCTTTTATTCTTGCTTTGTACTAAAATCAGAATTTATTTTTACCTTATAACTGTATATGGTTGCATTTTATTTGATGGCACCTGTTTATAATTGTATCAAGAAGTAACCACTGTTTTGCTCTTTCTACAACTTCTTTCAGAATCCTTTGAGCTTAGAATCCTTTTTTCTTTTCTCTTTTGACCCTAGTTCATTGAGTTAGTGAGGTTTTGATTCTGTCCTGCTGTGTAATCCTAAGCCGATCACTTAATCTTCTTGGGTTTCAGAATTTCTCATTAGCAAAGTTAAAATCGTTTAAAGGAATTACTTTCAATGTACTTAAGTATGGTGTAGTCAGTGTTTAAACTACAGATAAATATTTCTGCCTAAAACACTACAAATAACAGTGTATTAAGTGTTAGTCCAAGATATCTAGGTTAAAATACAACTAAGAAAATCATCTGTTGAGTATAGCTACCTACTCAATTTGAACCTTACAAATTCATTACATGTAATAGTAACACTGTAAGATGTGTTATGTAGTTTTGAAATGAGTGCTGATTTTTCCTTCAGTGTCTTCAGAGTAGAGTAGGCTCAATGCAGCTGAGCTGCACTAATAATGTTCACAAGACATTGATGTCTGTTATGATAAGGCATATCACCATCAGGAAAACCAGATACTCCAAGTCTACTACCAATTTATTCCCCTCCCATAGTAAAATCTACAAATCTAAAATAAAATTTGCTTGATGAGTATTGAATCTGAACGATGGAAGTTAGTGGTAAGAGTTATAAAACTAAGATGGCCTGATGTATCATTTTTCTTTTTCAGGATATTTAATACATGCATAGCCAAAGGGCAGCTGCTATTCAGCTATGAATAGACTTACTGACAAATTCCTATTTACTGGGAGTCCCTCTTCTGGTTTACATATTTTTTGCTCCTGTTAGCATATTATTTTTCAAATTATATATTACATGAATACTTGATTAAAATTCCATCTTAGTATTGCAGATACAACCATATTATAGTATTCCCCAGAAAATGAAAACTGGTAACCATGTCTGATTGATTAGCAAGCAATTCACCTGTTTATAGTGGCCACTTATATTAGTTGAAACAGGCTAACTGCTGTAATAAATGTCTTTAACATTTCAGTAGTTTAGTACAATAAAAGTTATTTCTCATTCATACCATGATCCAATTTAGGTTGGCTTAGAAGTCTGAGGAAGAGGGTATGAACAGGTCGACGGTTTTCATTTTGCATGAAGCCATTCAGGGGCCCAGCTCTTTTCATTTCTTTCCCCCTTATTCCTCATATTTAGTCTGTTACTTCTGCTTTCTTAATATTTACCTGTGTGTGTGTGTGTGTGTGTGTGTGTGTGTGTGTGTGTGTGGCGGGAGGGAGGTTTCTTTTCCTTTTCCTTTTTCTTTTTTGTCATACTGGGGACATACCAGGGACTTGTGCTTGCTAGGCAAGCATTCTCCCATTGAACTACATTCCTGGCCCAGTATTTAACAGTTTTGTTTACTTCTTTGTGCTGCTGCTACTACCTGAGTTTTTGGAAAGCATCCTAACTTATTTTTCTACTTCTAGTATGGTACCTCATTACAATGTGGATGGGGCACCACTGCCCTGTGCATAAAATTGGATATTATTGTAGTATTAAACACATGAGCAGGAGGATCTTTGGGCCATTTACCATCTCCTCCCAACTTTCCAAGAAAATGTTGTAATTGTGAGTGCAGTGCAAAAAGAAAAAAACAAAACCCCACAGGATTATTTATAAGGTTCTGACTTGATCAGATTTGACTTTGGTTCTGGATACCTCTCTCTTTATTCCCCTTTGCAGTAAAATTCCTTAGAAGAGTCGTCTTAATACTTCAGTTTTTCTCTTTCCACTTTTTCTCAGTCTCCTTCTTTTCAGTCTTTTGCCTTCATCATATCACCAAAATTGCTCTTGTGAGATCACTGATAATTTCCTTTTAGTTAAGTTTAAGTAGTAAATTCTCAGTTATTATCTCACATGGTATACTAGCCACATTTTTTACTTGACTTCCAGGATACCATTCTCATTCAGTTCTATTTTTTCTTCACCTCCTTAGTCTCTTTTCTGGTTCCTTCTTCTTGGAGTCCCTCAGGCTCAGTTTTCAGATCTCTTCTTTTGTCTGTCTATATTCAGCAATCTTATGGCTCTAAATGCTTCTTATATGTTTGTAACTTTTTAATTTTTATCTCTAGCTTAGACGTCATTCCATAACTCCAAATTTCTAAATCCAGTTGTCTTTTGGGCAACTCCACTTGAATGTCTGATACATACCTCAAACTCACATCTGAAACTGAGATTCTAATTTTCTTTCCAATATTTATCCATCCTCAGCCTTCCCAACTCATTAATGCTAGCTTTATCTGAGTTGTTTAGGATAAAATCGTCAGTGCTATTCTTAATTATTTCTTTTTTCATACCCTAATTTAATACATCAGGAAATCTAATTGGTGGTATTTCAGAATATATTCAGAATCTGATTACTTTTCACTGCTGCTTTTGCTATTACTTTGGATCCAACCATTATTAATTCTCACTTGAATTATTAAAATATCTTTCAAACTCTTTTGAATTTGCCATGTTACTTAATTTGGTCTATATAATGTTAGTAGGTGTGAAACAAACAAAAGTTTATGTGCTTGTGGGCATTAGCTTTCCTTTTGTTCTTTGATATGTCATGAGAAGAAGTTGCCTGAAGTAGCTGCTACAGGATCAGGTTGGGTCCTTGTTAAGTGAAACTGATTTCAACTGAATCTACTCTTTGGATCCAAGCTCAACCAAACTGCAGCCTGAAGCAGAAAATCTCAGTTTAGCTACCCTACGTCTCTTGAACCTCTCTTTAATCTATGAGAATAAAAGCTTGTTACAAGCCACTGAGCTTTGGAGTGGTTTGATATATGACATTACCATGGTATTAGTTGATGAATATTCTCATCCAGTCTGTTTTCAACATAGCAGCCAGAGTGATTATTTTAATAAAAATTTAAATCAGATCATGTTACACCTTTACTTAAAATCCTGTAGTAGCTTCCTAATTTCCACCAGAGTAAAACTCAAAGAGTATTTGTAAGTGGTGTACAGGGCATGATGGGTTTCCTTTACTCCCCATTATCGCTCTGACCTCATCTTGTAATAGTGTGTGCTTTTCTCATTCTGCTCCTATTGTACTGGCCTCAAACCTACAAGGTGTGCTGTCTTTGTACCAGCTGTTTCTTTCGCTTCAGTCACTCTTCTCTCAGAGGCCTAGCATGGCTTAATTCATTTACTTCCCTCAGGTCTTGCAAAGACATTACCTTCTCAGTGAGGCTTACCTTATGACCCTATTTACCCCATTTAAGTGGCCTCTGGCATTCTGGATTCCCTAACCATGCTGTTCTACTACTATTACTACTACTTTTTTTTTCCATAATATTTATGACTTTCTAATGAACTATATGATTTCTTTTAAAATATATTTGCTTTTTGCTTTCTGCAACTAAAATGGAAGCTCCTCAGAAACAGGGATCTTTGTTGCTTTTATTCATTAATGTATCTTAGTAGCTTAAAGTAGTGCTTAGCATACCAAAGGCACCTCAAAAAGCATTAATGGAATGAATGAATGAGCCATTTAAAAATAATTAGTAATTTACAGCTTGGTTTTTAAAAATTTTCACATGTTGGAAACATGAATATGACGCTCAAGTTTTAATTCTGTACAGAAATGGCTATTCATACAAAGTGGCAGTTGCATTATCTCTTTTTCTTGGATGGTTGGGAGCAGATCGATTTTACCTTGGATACCCTGCCTTGGGTAAGTATGTTTCATTAAAAGAAAAAACAAATTCTCATGATTTTGTATTCTAGTCAAGAGTATTTTTTTTTTAAATTGGTAAGTATATTCTTAGATTAAATCTCTGCATACTGTTAATATTACAAGTTCCATGTAATTGGAGTTGAATAGTTAACATTCTCCTGTGAGTATAGAGCTATCTCTACAATTCAGTTTAAGTAAGAAATGCTGACTTTTCCTGTGTATTTACCTTAGGAAAACACGTACTCCAGTTAGTGTAGGGATTTACTTAACGACAGTAATACTTGGAACTCTGAGTGCCAGTGCTGGACACACATTTTTTTTGCTTGAAATTTTTTCACTGTTACCCTGGGAATAGAAACTACTTTTTTCAGAATAAGTTGATTTTGGAATTTTGATGATCAGCATGAGCTGGAGGGAACCAGATTTTTTTTTAATTCTTTGTACTAGGGAATGAACCTGGGTCTTGCACATGCTAAGCAAGTACCTACCACTGAGTTATGTCCCAGCCCTTTTAAAAAAATTTTGAGACGGTGGCTGGGCTTGTAGCTCAGTGGTAGAGCACTTGCCTAGCACATATGAGGAGGTTCTGGGTTCTATCCTCAGCATCACATAAAAAATAAATAAATAAAAATAAAATAAGGATATTGTGTCTATTTCCACTCTCAAAAAAAGTTAAAAAAAAATTTGAGATGGGTTTTGCTAAGTTGCCTAGACTGGCAAGTTGTAGTCCTTCTGCCTCAGCCTTCCCAGTAGCTCATCATGTGTGCTACTGTGCCTAGAGGGAGGCTGATTTATTACCTGTTAGCATCCTTCTCCATACCTTCCTTCTGCCTGCGGTATTCACATTTTCCATAATTACTAATGCTTATGAAAACAGTTTGTATCTGGACATGGTAGTATAAATCACACCTGTAAATCCCAGTGATTGAAGAAGCTAAGGCAGAGGGATTGCAAGTTTGAGGCCAGTGTTGGCAAGTAAATGAGGCCCTGTCTCAAAATAAAAAAATAGAAAAGGCTAATGATGTAGCTTTGTGGTAGAACAAGTAGAACACCCCTGGGTTCAGTCTCTACTACCACCCCTTCCAAAAAGAAAATTGTTTACCTTTGACCACAGCTTTTAGTAAACAATTCTTTCATGTTTTACCCTTACTTAAACCTTATAGCTCTGAGTTTATCCTCCTCTTTAAATCCTCTTTAACAGGTAGGGAAACTCACCAGAGAGTTAAGGGATTACTGAATTTGAGACCTTACCTTAGTTGGTGACTTTTATTATCATCTTTATAGGTAGGGAAATTGTCATGAGATTAAGAGATTTACCAAGGACATTCAACTGGTGACCTTAATTTGAAACCAAATTCTCTTGTTCTAATGATCATGCTTTATTTACTGTAGTATGCTACTTCTGTATTAGCCCATCATTGAGCAAATAAAGTTTTTTTTTTTTTTTTTTTGTAGGTTTCTTTTTTTTTTTTTTCCCCTGCAATACTTGAGATTGAACCCAGGACTGCTCTACTACTGAGCTACATCCCCAACTCCCCTACCCACTTTTTTTTTTTTTTTCAAGTTTTGAGGCAGTCTTATTAGTTGCTGGGGCTGGCCTCCAACTTGTGATCCTCTTGTTAGTATCTTGAGTTTCTAGGATAATAGGTGGGTGCCACCACATCTGGCTTGGCTTTAAACTTTCTATTCTTGTGCCTCAATCTCTCAGATAGCTGGGATTCCAGGTATTAATCTTGTGGGCACAAAAATTTTTGAATGCTCTGCTTTCCAGCTTGCAAAACTCACCTTATTCCTTCCGTGTTGCTACCCAACAACAGAGGTATGTTTCATATAGCTATATCTAAAACTTAGTGTTTTATGTTCATAAAGAAAAGTCAGAACTTAAAGTACTGTGTACAATAATTTATTCAGTTACCCATTTCTTCAACATTTAAGAAAGTAATTATGTACATATTATATAAATAATGATAAAGATCCCAGAGTATATTGGTTAAAGAAAATAAATGTGAAATAAAATTAATATGTTGGTAGGTCAGTTTATGATGTTAGATTGTGATAGAGCCAAAGCAAGGTGCTGTGAGAGCACAGAAAAGGGATTGGTTCAGGAGGCCATGGGCATAAATAAAAATCTGTTAGAGGAGATGACATTTGATCTAGGTTTTAAGGATGAAGAGATTAAAGAGATTTAGGCATTGTAGAGAATGGCATTTGCAAAGTCACAGGGTATTGAAGTATATGAATGTGCCTTGAGAAAAAGGGGGATAATTTAGCCTGGGATGTAGGAAAAATGCTCACAGAATATGAAATTGACTGTAGAGGTAGCCTGTAGTCAGATCATAAAAAGGCTTTGAGTGTCTTCCTTTGGAACTTGGACTTTACCTTTTAGACATCAAAAGTAATAAAGGTTTTTACATAAAAGTGTCATGGTCATAGTTACCTTTCAAAAAGATTAATATTGGAGGAATTGTGAGGTATGGCTTGATTGGGGAAAGGCTTATATAGCAGAACAAGCTAAAAAAAAAGGTTGATGGAATAGTCTTGGCTTGAATGATAGTGTAATTATACTTTGTCCATTCCTTAGAGCAACAATACCTTTTAGTAACACAGCTGAAACCATATAGTATACAGGAAAGCCTCTGATTTGCCAAATAAAATCATTTAGTCTAACTATTTTTAGATGAGAGGGATGGAGAAACTAAGTTCATAAAGAGAAAATGATATGATCTGGTAGTTGCAGCGTGTCCAAGTATTTTCTGTTTTGAGATGGGGTCTTGCTTTGTTAGCCAAGCTGGGCTTGAATCCATGATCCTGTGGCCTTAGGCCTCACTAGTAGCTGAGATTATAGCTGTGCACTACTGCTACTGACTTCTAATAGTTCTTGCATTTTCCTCTGTCCTCTTTAAGAAGACTAGACCATATATAGTTTTTGGAAGGATTTCTAACTTTTAAAATGTTCATGAAAGGTTGTGAGGGAAAAAGAAACAGTATTCTTTAGAACAGTTTATTCTGTGATGAGGTTATACTTTTCTATTTCTTTTTCCTTTCATGTGCTGGGAATCAAACCCAGGGCCTTGTGTGTGCTAACCAGGTACTCTTACCATGGAGCTATACCCCCATCCTACTCTGAAATGATGATACGAAATAATAAATATATTTAAAATATTTGGCTTAACGAGTGACTTGTTTTAGCTTTTTGTTATGTCAGATGGGCTGTTGGACATACAGTGTAAGTTAATGTTTTAGACAGTGCAGTGAATATTTTTTTTTTCTTGCAAAATAAAACTCTGTATACATATAGTGGCTCTGGTTAGTGGTTACTAGTTTTTTTAGCAGGAGCTGTTTTTCTGTGGCAATTGTCACTTCTAGTCTATTATCAATATAAGCCAAAGAGAACCTTTGATTTTGAGGCTGATGTTTCATAAATTTGCAAATTTATTTATTTATTTATTTTTGGTACTGAGGATTGAACCCAGAGGCGCTTTACCACTGAGCTAAGTCCCCAGTCCTTTTTTTTTTTTTTGAGGCAGAATCTCGCTAAGTTGCTGAGGCTGACCTTATGCAATCCTCCTGCCTCACCTTTCCCAGTCACTGGGATTACAGGCGTGTGTAACCCACACCTAACACAGATTTACTTTTTTACATTAACTTTAAACTTCAGTGTGAATGTTTTTTAAAACTCTGAATAACATAACTATATCAATAACATTTGGATGTTGTTTAATTCACCAAATATTTTGAGTGCTAACTTGAGAAAGGAAACAATCTCTCATCTGCTTCATAGCTTGTTGCTATTGTCCTATTTTCCATTGGCTTTGTGTTTTGTTTTGTTTTTTAATCTTTCCATTCTTAGTAGGATCTTGGAATGAGAAGAGTAAGTGAGTATGTCAAATTTATTATCTTTAACTGAAAATCTTCTTATCTCTTTAAGCATTCAAATTCACACACACACACATATATATTGTGTGTGTGTGTGTGTGTATCCCTATCTTACTTGCATTTAAGCTTCTTTTTTTCTTTGCAGTACTAGCTGATTGAACCCAGGAATGCTCTATTACTGAACTACATCCCTCATCTGGTATAGAAGGCATACCTGTAGTCCTAGCACTCAGTAGGCTGAGGAGGGAGAATCACTTAAGCCTAAGAGTTTGAGACCACCTTTAGTGGACAGAATCCCCTAAGTCTTCCTCCCAAGTAGCTGGGATTACAGGCACGTGTTACTGAATTAACCTGGATTTAAGAGGTATCTTAATACTAAGGGTCTTGGTATGTTGTATCAGCTGATCAAATCTAATATGTAAAAATTAGTGTTAATATAAAAATTTTAAATGTTTTAAATTTTATTTTATTTTTAATGCTTGAATTGAGCTCATGCAAGGCAAGCATTCTACCACTCAGCTACACCCCAGCCCTTTTTATCCTTTTATGTTGAGTCAGGGTTTTGCTGAGGTGATGAGCTGGTCTCCAACTTTCAATCCTCCTGCCTCAGCTTCCCAACTAATTCAGATTGCAGACCTGTACCTCTACACCTGGCTGAAATTTTAATTTTTATTACAAATCTAAGGTGAAGGAATTTTAGTGTTTTCTTTTTGTGTGTGGTCCTGGGGATTGAAACCAGAACCTCATACATGCTAAACAAGCACTCTACCACTAAGCTACACTAATTTGAGTTAAAATGATTGTTGTCATTAAAAACATTCTCCCCCTCTCCCCTCCTATTTGAGTTGTGGTCTCTCTGTGTTCCCCAGTCTGATCTCAAACTCTTAGCCTTAAGTGATTCTCCCTCCTCAGCCTATTGAGTGCTAGGACTCCAGGTATGCCTTCTATACCAGGATAGAAAACATTCTTAACTGGGTAATACAGTGTTGGCTATTTTGTTTTTGCAATCCTGGGGATCAAACCTAGGACCTTGCACATATTATGCACATACTCTACCCTGAGCTATATCCCAAGCCCTTCAAATTGTCTTGTTTAGTCTTTCTTCATGGTTATAAAAAGCA